TCTCGCTCACTCACTCTCGCTCACTCACTCTCGCTCACTCACTCTCTCTCGCTCGCTCCCTCACTCACTCACTCACTCACTCACTCACACTCACTCACACTCACTCACTCACTCACTCCCTCGCTCCCTCACTCACTCACTCACTCACTCACACCCTCACACTCTTACTCTCACTCACACTCACTGACACTCACACTCACACTCACCACCACTGCCACCATCTCCACCTTCATCACCACCATCACCTCTCTGGACCCCAATGCGTCTAGATCTCTAGACCTTCTGCTTATAGACCTCACACACACACACGCACACTGTTTGGGGTCTCTTGCCGGAATGCTTTTTAAAATAAGGATCCCTGTAACATTGTAGCCTTAGGCTTGGGCAATGCATGGCACTGCGAAACTACCATTAACAACCCTCTATATTATACACATTATACCATAACAATTATATATATATAGTTATATACATATACTATTGCTCGACCCGGAATCTTCATGGCTTCAACCTGGCCCAGCTGGAAAATCACCCAAAGCACCTGCAGCACACCAGTCGCACACCATCCACTTCCACTGCATGGAGGAAGGAGTAGGCATGTCCGTTCACCAGGCCGTTCCTTCGCGACATCGACCGTTCTTTTGCGGCAGTCGGTCGGCGACTCCGACGGTGCTACTCGGTCCGACAGTGGGTCAAATCGGGAGCATCCGACCACTTGGTGGGAAGAAAAGAATCTCTTTTTGGAGTTGGATTCGATGCAGCTGCACCTAACATCAAGGAAGATCACCTAAGAAGTGGTTTTCAGAGTTCATCCCGAAGAAGGGTGATGAGGACCGATGACCCGAAGGCCCGATGTGGGTGGTTTCCCACATCAGAGACCAACCTGAAATACCTCTGCCACACCATCGATGGACTGACATGCCCGGTTTTGATTGTCTTTCAGGGAGTCAATGAGGTGACATCATCTTCCAGTCCCATGGACTGTTTGGGTATCTGGGTAAGGGAACCTTTGGAGATGACATAGACTGCTGAATACCCCCCCCAACATCGGACAGTCCAGCATGCGTCTACACCCCCGGACGGGGTCAACAGCCTGGTGAACAGTCTCCACAGGCGGGGAATGCAGTTTTCTTCGATTGACACGTCTGATGTTGAAGGTCTGCTCCAGTGATTGACGCATGGTGAGGTCCAAGATTCTGCAATCTGCCCATGGTCTCCTTCACCTCTTGTTGATCATAGGAGACAAAGAAATGAGTTCCCACCTGAGCAGGGCCCAGACCCTAAAGCCGCGGAGGAGAATGCTTCACAGATTGACCTTTGCTGAAGAACCACACCTGAAAATAGACACCTCTGAAGCGATTTCCTCTAATGAATTGAATTCGTTGCTAAACCTCCAATCCGCGAGGCGAACGGTGGAGGGCCATCAGTTGGAGAGCCGTTCCAGTTCCTTCCTTCGCTTCAGGGTCGAAACACATGTCAAGTTCCTTCCTTCGTTCCTTCGCTTCGGTTTGATCTCTATCCCAGCGGATCCAGCGGATCCCAGTATAATGTCAATTAGTAGGTGGCCAGTGCTACAAACGACACAAACCCCAAACCCTGCTACTGGTCCCTGGCATCCACTTCCTCGGGACGTACCGAAGCTTTCGACCGCCTGACAAGTATACGTTCAACAAGAAAGGTATACGTTCAACAGTAGATTAGAGATGCATAGAAATGCTATGAAATGAGAGTTTTATACTGCTGCTTGGTATACTGTACCTCAGTGTACACGAAAAAGGAATAACCCAATCATCCACAGCTGGACTCCAGGTGATTCCGCTGATTCCACAGCCCTTTTTGGGAAAAGGACAGGCCACTTCTTCCCTCACTTCGCCGCTCCTCTCGGCTTAGAGCAGCCTCTCCCTTCCCAGCTGGTCTTCGTGGCTCGGAACGAATCCCGGGCACCGTGCTACGAGACGTCCGTTCCGTGCTACGTTGCGTGGCTGCATGACTTCGGGAGTCGATTCGTCCCTTCTGTCATGGGGTGGACGTTTTTTCTTTTTTCCTTTTCGGACCAAATGCGAGAGATTCGCCCACCTGAGCGTGAGCCGATAGCGGAGGGTCTGATGTATTTTGACCCAGGTACCAAGTAGTTCTTCCGGTCATATTCCAGCACTCGCTCCCACATGCCATCCTTGTCAGTCGTCTCCGTCGATTTCTGAAAGCCTCACTTCATCAGTGAGGATACCAATAACAATCCAAAAAACAAGCCAAAGGCACGTAAAGTCATCTCCCACATAGACAACCGCCTTTGAAGCGGACAACCTCCCAGAAAAGCCTTTCCCTCAAATATAACCCTTCATTGCTAGGTCTCGTAAGATTCAAAAAACAAACACAATTCTTCCCTACACAATGAGAAATAGCAAGCAAGCCAGCCAGCGAGCGAGCGAGTGAGCGAGCGAGCAAGCACGCACACACGCACGCACGCTCTATGAAACATGTATGAAATTGGTGAGATGGATTTCAAGATATCCATATGACATAGCAACACAAACAAGTTGTTCCTTGTAAAGTGACCTGTGAGGGATTTGAAGAGTCTGGAAACTGACAAACTGCAGTGCCTATAAAATGACACTATCACTACTACAGGAAAAACATGTCCAAAAGTTTTGCAAAGCACACTAAGAATTTAGAACTCATAATGTGACACACACACACACAGGTCATGCAAGGGGGTCAAAAGAATGTGTTTAGGGAAATGTCACAAAGCATGTCTTTAGGGAAACGGTTTAGCAGTGGAAAATGGTTTAGCAGTTCTTTCAAAAGGCAGCTGCGGCAAGCATGTTTCATGTGGCGGTGTGGTGGCTGAATGTTCCTGCAATCGCAGGGGGATTGGAAGCTACACAGGGGGGGGTCCTATAGCCTATAGGTCTTCCACTCATTTCTGAGACTTTGACCCCAAACGTCTCCAGTGCGCGAGCGCAACTGTCTCAGTTCAAAACTGTCTCCAGCTCAGGGCGGCACCCACACCCCAGCGGATGGCATCCGTAGAGGTGCAAACACCGTAGAGGCCCCAAACAAGGTCATCCACGCAACGCGCAAGCTTCCTCGTTGGGGGCTGCGAGAAATGAGGTGGAAAGCAAGCTGGAGTCAACAAAAGGAAGTTGCAAACATGACTCAGGTCTTAATCAACAAAAATATAGTGTTTTTTTTTTTAAACATCTCTTGTACTGGCCAAAAAGGACCACGAATCTAACTGGAGTGACCTGCCTTGCCGTGCCAAATGGCCTCCACCCTATCCACGTATTGTCCACCTCTCACACGCCCCACTGTGCGTTGACCGAGCTTCTTCCCGCGCCAACGGACGGACACCCATCCCTCATCCGGGCCATCCCCCTCCAACTTCTTGATGCAAATGCGTTTGCCGATCCTCAGTTGGCACACCCTGGAAAAAGAACATGAAACGCATGATGCTCAAAAGGACATCTGAGCGCATCTGACTGGCCTGGGGGCTTGGGGCCCAAAAAGACCCACAGAACTCAAAGCTATGGTAATGCAATTAGTAATGCATCTCATGTTGAATCTGGTTTACACTCTGACTCACGTCCCTCATGTTCCATGGAAGTGGATGGCCTGACCCCTTGTGTGTCCGATGCTCCTCCACACAGGGTGGGTGGACAGCCCACTTCCATGTGGGCAATGGACTGAGACCTCCATATTGGTTAACATAACACAGGTGCAACGAGTTCATATTGAGAACCAACGCCCTCCAGCAGGTCACCTTCCTCTTGAGGATTGTTGGATACTTTGCTACCGGTGATAGCTGGGGGTTGTTGCAGGAATCCATGCCCAGTATCAGTCTAAGCTGATAAGCTGTAAAATAGAGATCCTCTTGTTGTCTTACCTCCACCCAGTAGCAGACCAACATACTCCAACTACTTTTCCTACCATGCTCCTATTCCCTCAAACACGACACGAACAAATCTTCGCCTCATCCTGGAGTTGAGCCAACAAAAACCACCAGAACATCAACCAAAAACCAGAGTGTTCAAGGCTGAATGCACCATGTTCACGTGAACCTGCCCTCTCTCCGCACATCGAAAGCCCCCACGGTCGACGTGGTGGAACAAATCCACCGCCCACTTCGATTCCAACCACTTCGAGACTCCGATTCACCTCTTCGAACTTGGCACCCTTCAACAACCTGGGCGTCGGTCCACCGTTCGTGCCGGTGTCGACCGTCCGACCTGACGTGCAGAGTCACAAGCAGCGCAGTCCCTAAACTGGGGTCTTCGGTCTTCGGTCTGCGCGAGTGCATGGAACATGTCATCAGCGGAAAAAAGAAGCGAACGAACTGCCTAGAAGCCGTTTGGTAACTTCTATACCTTTGGGTCATGGCTGCAGGATATGCACCAGATCAGCTGGAACAAGCACAGGCAGGGGCAGGGGGCAACCATGTTGGATGCGCACCACTTGTTCCACCATCAAATGTCGAACCCCAGACACTCCACATATGGAATATATTTGCCTACATTGACCCCCAAAACCACCCCAATGTAGGCATATATGGCATACATGGAGTGTCTGGGAACCATCTTGAACCAATTCGTCGAATTCGACGAATCTTTGTGAACTATGAGCAACAAGGCTTCGGACAGCCAAATGCTCCGCAGATTCTCCAAGTTTAGGGAACAACACAGCTGAGTTGAGGAGCAATCACAAGTCAGAGTTGATGGCCAAAGGGAAGCAGCAGGAGCAGGGGAAACCCACAAAGTTCAGCTACATTTACATAAGGAAGCCATGGAAAGCCCCAAAACAGAAAAGTCTCGGTGGACGTGGTGAGTCTTTTTTCGTTCATGTCTACCCCATACCGACCATTGTTCTCTGCTTGGAGAAACAAGAACCCGCGAGTCCCCCTATGAAATCGCTGCAAACAATTCGAGCACTCATAAACCTAGTGACTTAGTGGTTCATCAATGACTCAAGAGGTAATGTCAAAAGCATACGTGGCACTTGGGACGGCCAAGGCAAGGCCAATCTCTAACACGACAAGAACAAAAAGTACAAAAAAACACAAATGATTCCAACACCAGTCCAATGCAACATAAACAACACATTTACATGCACTGAACCTAGTGGTCATCTATCTTTCACTGCTGATGGCTACCCTGAACCTTGTGGCACAAGCGGAAAAGAACTTTTATGACGGTTCTTGGGAACATGACCCGAGAAACATTACCAGACCTGCTCCTAGAAACACCCAGAACTCGACACGACACTCGCGGACACCGAACCTAGAAAGGATGGACGGACGACGGTCGCGTAACTCAGGGTTTCGGGGGTCACGGACGGTCGCGTCATCCGCCCGTTAACACCCGGGCTCACACCATCCTGGAGCGATACGAGACGAGCGTGGAGCGATACAGTATGAGGGAGATCTCCGACCCAACACACCAAGAGTATCATTGAATGTAACAAACCATCCAATACTTGAGTCTCACTACCATGCACCAACTAGAATCCATATACCTGCACCCGACTCCAACAAGATCACCAACTCTTCGACCTCAAACCCCTCGGTCCAGCAGGGTCCAACGGGTCTCAAACCTCCTCTCTGGAGGTACCCTGCTACAAACATCTCCCGGTACCTGCACATCATGATCATCATGTTTTCTTTTTCCAAAGGGTCACGCCAAACAGTCCCACGAGGGTTTTTGTTGAGGTCATAGAATGCAATAATGGTAGTCTAATAGTCTAATCCTCCCAAAAAAGCAGGGCCTCCCTAGCACTCCAATAGTCTGTCCTCCCGCAGAATGCCAACAGGTTGGACTGACACAGATGTTCGCCCGTCCAATTCCGAAACAAATTCGACGTCTCGCTGCAGCCGACGTCGCTGCCCCAGCGTCTCGCTGGACGTCTCTTCGGTCGCCGAGACGGCCAAGGTGTCAACCAGCACCTGGCGAGTCGAGACAAAGCCCTGCCTTCCGTGGTTGGGGAAAAGCATGGAAAAGAGGTTCCGACAAGGAAAATGGACACACATACTATGCAATTATATATATATATTATATTCTTATATTAGATCGAAGTAGATCTTCGAAACCAGCAAGAAGGCTTTACTTTTTGCCGCCGGGTACATATGTGGAATGTAAGCACAGGTACATAGACGTTCCACTGGACCAACCACCACTGCTTCTGGGGCGACCACCAAATCGCTGGCCTCCCAAATAGGGTTCTGCTTCGTCCGGATCCAGGCCGAGATCGCCGTCTCCCCGGTCATCGCCATCCACGCGATCATCGAAAAGCCACCGGACAGCTGTCCCTGGAGGGCTCGGCGGAGGGCGGCGGATGCCAAGCAAGCTGAAGAGAAGAAACACAACCAGTGAAACCGTGGTTAAGAGCGGTGTTGCAGCGAAGTGAGTGAAGAGATGTGGTTGGCATACTGGCGGTTGTAATGAATGGACGTTTGCTTGGGATGTGTTCAATTTGTAGAAACCTCAAGGTGGTTTCGGAGACTCTTGCCTGCCTACGATCTTTCAGTCTGTGCCAAACTGCGCACGGGTTAATGTGGAGCTTGTTCCAAATGCCGGTGATTTCCGCTTGGGCCAGTGATTTCAGTGGTCTTGGTCCTTCACACGGCACCAGCACCACCGAACAAAGAACCAGCCCAAAACCAGAACCAGCAGGTAGTGGCAGAGGTGCTGCTTTTGCTGCTGGATTTTGCACTCGTCTTTTCATGGGTCCCTTCTCTTCTCACCCACCACCACGGTCGCTCTCTCTTGCCACTACTGGATCAGTCCTTTGTGACTTCTAGGGTTCAGGGAGTGGTTTAGTCGGAGTGGTCAACTCCCACACCAAGCCTTGGTGCACAAAGGTTGAATGGGCCTCGACTGTTTCTCTTTTGGTTTGTCCCGCTTCCTCTCTGTTCCAATTCGATCTGAAGATGCTTCCTTGTAAATCCACTGAAAAAGAAGAGGAAAAGGAATTGAATTTCAATTCTTCCTTACAGGGTCAAACCATCTATACTACCCGCCACTGTGTTCAATCATTGAGGTGCAGTCCTCTCCATCACCCAACCACTGGTGTTTTTTCTACATGGTCTTTTTCTCCAACCCCGACCCAACCCCTTTGTCCAACCCCGACACGACCCCCAGACCCCGACCCGCATAGCATCCTCCAAGCGTCATACGA